AAATTGTATTAGACGGATCAAAGCTTTGTTAATACAACAAATTGTATTGCCGATTTAACAATTTAGTTTTGTTATTTTAACGGTTCCATAACAGTTTTCTTTGTTTATCAAACAATTCTGTTTGTTCACCGAACAATACAAATAGTTTTAATAACATTCCCAGTTCAACAATTTTTTTTGTCCCAAAAACAAATAGAACTGCTGGTTCTATATTGACAATCCGGAATTGTTGTGTGGACTTAATTTTTAGTAACCACAACAATTCTTTTTTCTCCGTGAGATTTGTAAAATCTAAATGACGGATTTAAAATTAGATATTTTACAAATCTGAACTTAAAATTCGTAATCAGTATACGTTAAGGAGATTTTCTATTTACAATATGGCGAAATTTTTCATGAAAAATAGCAATTTTCAATTCAAATATTTTAAAAGTAAAGTTCTCCACAAAATTCACCTAACAAATCCACATGCCGTTAATAGAAATTATGAAAAAATTTATTTATCGTATTATTCATTTTATAGTTGTGGAAGTTGAAGAAAGTTTTAAGAGCGGAATTTGTAAGAGAATGTTTCTTCCCCATGATAAAAATTTAATTATGGAGCAAGTGTGATTCATTAGAAACGAAATCTTCGACAATTTAATGCAGAAAATATAATGCGATATCTTATAGTTATCTTTTATATATATCCATTAGTACTCGCTGATGCAATTTAGAACTTTCTATTTTATCAAGCTCATATAAAAGGTAATAATTTATTTTGTTATTTTATTAATAATTTTTTTTTATTTATATTATTTAATTAACACTTTTCTTTAATAATTTATAAGTTGAACTAAGATAATGTTTTGTTAAAATTATCTCAGATTCCACGGATTGTGAGAAAATTTTTCTTTTTGTCTCAACAACCAAAATTTTATTCGTATTTAAGCAAGCAAACTATTTGGTTGAGTGTTTTTTGTTAGCATAATAATAATGTTTGATTAGGTTAACCACATTTTTTTGTTAGGTCAACAAAAATGTTTGGTTGATCAATCCAAAAGTTTTTTTTTGTAAAATTAAAAATTTAATTCTACCTTATTTCTTTTCATTTTATCTTTTTTTATTATTTATTTATTATCAATTTCAAGTTTAATTTATATTTATTCAATTAAAATATTTCTGGACTTTGATGAATCTCATATCTACTTAGAATTGAACTTTTGTTTCTACCCATTTTTGTGAGAGGCTTAAACTAATTGTTTTCATAAAGTACGAGCTATTAGCGAACTAAATTATTTGGTTGTTGTAACCAGATTTTGGTTGGAATTTAAAAATGTTCAACCAAATAATTTTGTTGGCCTATCCAAATTTTTGGTTAAGATAGCTCTGAAATTTTGTTTCAGTCAACCAAAATTCGGTTACGACAACCCAAATTGCCTAACTAAACAGGAGGTTACAGTCACGGAGAATCCAAAATTAAATTTTAAAAAATTCAAAAATGACGATAAGAAATCTTATAAATTGATCATATTTTTTTTAAAACATAAAAAATAGTTTGCATATAAATAAAGAGTAAATTATATAAAAACTAAAAATAATTTGTCAATTAACGTTGGTTATCAATGCATCACGATGGAAAATAACACGATTTTATAGTCTCGCTTATTATTAATTAAAATTGACCCTTTTATAAGATTTATTTGATATTTAAGAGAAGCTATTTCATTACAACACAATGGATATATAGAACGTGGAATGTAAAGATCAATTAAAAGTGAAGAGAATAAAATAACAAAATATATAAGAAGGAACGTGAAGTGGAGCACTGTGACTAATATCTTCTTTGCTTAGAAGAGAAGAGTTAATCGAATTGTAAAAAGCGTAATATATAGAGAGAGAATGGAATACCGTTTAGTTCAACTAAAACCCTTTGAAATCTGCAACAGTTGCTGATATCGAGCATGTCTTTCTGTCTTATGTTGTTACACTTCAAATTGCTTTCCCTTTCTCTCATACACGATAAATCTTATCGTTTCTCTCTCTCTCTCTCTCCCTCACTCCTTTTCTCTCTGTTCATTTATGTCTTTCAATGTTTCTTTTTTCAACAATAGGAAAAATTCGCATTGCGATCGTTTCTCGATGCGCAAGCGCGCGGGCGCAGGTAAATGTCAGGTCGTGACTTTCATGCGGTCTACCACCTGCCATGGGATCGGTAAGTGCGTTGTTATTAATGGCATCTCGATTAAATCGCATCCGGAATAGGCGTAGGTCCTGCTAACTTACTCCTTTTCATTTATTTCGATTATTAATTTTTTAAAACAAAAAAATACACTTTCAAAAATTATTTTATTATTTTCAAATACATTTCTCTTTTCAACGCACCAAAGAGTGCAATAACAATTTGATAATAATAATAATAATAATAAATATAAACGAAAAATATCAATCTATCCTTTAATAATAAATTACTGTCACTACTTTAATCCCACGGAGAAAAATGAGATTGTTGTGCAAATAATTTTTGGATTTTTGTCAGTAGATTTATTGATATTACAATTCAAAATGTTAATATTACAATTCGGATTGTTGTCAATACAAATGTATGTTGTTTTAACAACAATACGAATTTTATGTTGTCAGTTTTGTTCAGTTTGCAATTCCGTACAGTTGCAAAAGCAAACTCTCTGTCGATTGCTGATGGAACAATCCGGATTTGTTAAGCTGACAAGTTTATTGTTCCATGTCACGTGGTCACTTTGAATTCTCGCAAACTGGCGTGTAGATCGTCGGGTCATAGGCTTCTGGTACATGTGCCACTTTTGCTTTTATTATTAGTTTTTTTTTAAATGACAAAGTGCTGTTAAATAATGTTAACAACAAATTTCAACTCAAAATAATTTTTTGGTTTCAGGTCAAAGAATTTGACTTAGAAGCTGCATATTCCACAGATTTTAATGCAAATGAAACTGATGATATGACCTACGGAAATCTGCTATCGATTATTTTCGAAGGCGAAGAAACTGAACAAATTGTATTAGACGGATCAAAGCTTTGTTAATACAACAAATTGTATTGCCGATTTAACAATTTAGTTTTGTTATTTTAACGGTTCCATAACAGTTTTCTTTGTTTATCAAACAATTCTGTTTGTTCACCGAACAATACAAATAGTTTTAATAACATTCCCAGTTCAACAATTTTTTTTGTCCCAAAAACAAATAGAACTGCTGGTTCTATATTGACAATCCGGAATTGTTGTGTGGACTTAATTTTTAGTAACCAAAACAATTCTTTTTTCTCCGTGACGATAAAGAATATTGATAAAAATGATAATGTTGATTGTTTGTAATTTCTCTGGATTGTGACAAAAAAATGAAAATATGATAAATTGAAAATGAGTAGATAATGGATATATCAGTGTTTATACAATTCGTATATACGGTAGAAGAATCTGAACGAGTGTGAAGAAGATAATTCGCGGGAAGTGTTGATCGCACCTGGTCGTTGAATTATATTCTTAGATCCATGTGACTCACCCACGTGACGCATATATATACGTGGGTACTTGAGCCTTTATTTTTCATGTTGGAATATATATGTTGGTCGCATCCAGTGATTTATTGTATCAAGTTAAAGGGGATACATATTTGTCTTTAAGCAAATTCAATTTTTTTTTTGTTTACAATCGAATTCAATTTTTTTAACATAAAGAAAATTATTTTAGCATTATATAGTTACATTTTTCGTGGCCAATATTAATGTTATCGTTGAGAAGGAAAAAAATCCTTAGCAACGGTTGCTAAGGATAAAAACAGTCATGATAACGGTTGTCATGAAAATGGTTGCTATGGTAACAGTTATCATGGAAATGGTTGCAATGGTATAATAGTTTTCATGGAAATGGTTGTCATGATAACTATAAGGCTTTCGGGCCAGGGCCACGAAACCAATTTTAATGATTGTCTTTATAATTTACTTTATAAGTAGAAAACGAATTTTTTTCAAAAAACAAATAGTGTTCTATATACGAATGATCCCTTTTTTTGTTCTATTCTTTATCTACAGTACATTTATGTGGTCACAACATCTGAAATTCCTAGAGATCGGTATCTCACGAGTCAAGACCCTTCTGAAACATTGACGACATTTCCCTTTTATATGGAAATAAATTGGTAAAGATGCGCAGTGTCTTCTTAAAAGGGATTCAATTCTCCTCTTTGCTTCTCTCATTTTTTTTTTAGTAAAATAAGGGAATTGTTGAATGTTATAAATTGCTGCATAAAACTATGGAGTTTACGCGATACACGTATATAATCTATATGCGAAGAAAATATTTATTATCGAGGATTAATTAAATATAAAAAAATATCACAATACAATCTCATTTAATATAATAAAATGAAAATGGGAATATAAAACTACGAGACAGAGAGGGTAGAAACATGTGTCTATTTTTAAATAAATAAATAATTTTTGCTAACTATTATTATATCCAATTGGGATACAGTTAATGCAAACTTAAAACTGATCCCAGATATTTCGAATTTGGACCCGGATCACTTCACGTTGTATGCTACATGTATATGTAAGATCTATGAGGCTGAAGTCAAGTCAGTCAATTGAGAAGACGGTGAATCGATTTATTTTAAGAGATCGACCACTGTCGATCCATACCTCTCGGAAGCTTGTATATCGTGAACTGTTTTGTTGATCTAACGCATATTTTCTGTGATGCACTTGGCAAGGTTTCCCTCATATGTTCAAAGAGTTAAAATGCGACGACGAGCGGAAGGAGATCTTTCCTTATGCGCGCACGTTTCACGTGAACGCAACAACCTTCGCTTCGAACATCCATAAATCAGACCAAGCTTCTCTTATACATATATATATATATACCGTCCAGTTGTTTGCCATCGCGAGAGTCGGGTCAGAGGGGACCACGATCACAGACTCTCTTTCCGGGACGCGCCCATATAGCCTATTGCCGGCTTTGGCTTTTCATTTCAAAAGATTCCAACTCATTTGTTTCACTAATTTTTTATTAACAGAATTTTTAGATAATTTTTAATTTTGTAGAATTTTTATTTTACACTATTTCTCATTACGTAAAAATTTAACTTAAAAGAATTCTAATTTAAAAGATTTTTAATTTAGCATAATTCTAATTTAACAAGTTCTAGAAATTTTTAAATGCTATAATTTCCAATTTACCGAATCTTAATTTGTCCATATTTTTATTTGCACAAATTTTTGTTTTTCCGAAATTGCAATTGCTGCACAAATAATCGACACAAGAAACACTATTTAATTAACCTGCAATTCTTGTTTGTAAAAATTTAAAAAGTAATCACTACAAATATAATCATCCACTGGTATAAATTGACCGTCGCCAATCAATTCAACATTTACTTTATCCACAAATTTAGCTAATGGAGCAAAATCATTGTTACCATTATCGCGATGAAGACGTATTGTCCAAGTAGCAAAAGGACTTAAAATATAATCATTATTATTATCATAAAGTGAACGCCTTTTTCTTGATGAGCTCAAAAATTTAAACAATGTGCCAGAAGAACCAGATTTAATTAGATGCACTTTTTTGTTACATTCATAGTATGAGTCACCATTGTGATTTAAATATATGTCATAGTCCTTCAAGAGATTCTTTAATTCTTCATTAATTTCAGGATCTGTTGAAGTCAGCAAAATGTCCACATCACGAAACTTTAATGCATTAAAATGTTCTCCTTGCGAAATATTTGCAAATAATTTAACTTCTTTTCCTTCGAGAATATCTCTAATTGCTGATGAATAATTGCTGCTATTCCACTTATAAAATGCAGATTTAGAACCACCATTACCAAATTTAGTTTCCTTGACTTGTTTAGATAAACCACCCTGACCAATTCTTTTCATTAAATTTAATTTTAAACTTTTCATTTTATCAACAATGATACTCGCTTTTTGCATACTATTATTAAAAATATTATTTGGACTTGTCATAAATTCGGAGAATTCTACTATTAATGGATATGCATAACCTTTCAAGGCTATTGTTAATTTATTATAATCATCAATAACACGATTTGAATAATAAATCTCCTCTAGTGCTGTAAAATCTTCAACTATTTGTGGATCGTTTAGATTCGTGATATCAAAAGGTGCCATTGCAATAACTTTAATATACTCAGCATTGTTTAATTCATTTTTAAAATTTTTAACCAAGGTATGCATATTAATAATCGTACTCATAGTTTTTTTGATTTTTTCTATTATTTTTGCTACTTCACCCTCCACCTTAAAACCCTTAGTCAATGTGCTTAATTCTGTTGAAGCATCTGTTAAATATTCATCCATTTTAAATTTTTGATATTCAAGTACAGCTCTCGAAGACATGGCAAATTTATCAGAACTTTTATGCAAATTATTTCGAATGCGATCAATTTGTGATCCTAATTTTTTATAAATGTTTTCTTTAAACATTTCCAATTTTCTTATCTCATCATACTGTTCAAAAATTTGCCTATCAATTGAATCTTTTGCAGCTGCAGCTTTTGCATGTTTATTATATCGATCAATGCCTAAATTAACAACATCTAAAGATTTTTCTGCTATTTTCATAACCTGCAACGATCTTTTATATTTTTGATTATTCCTTTCACTTTTCTCTGTCCATTCAATTTCTTTTTTTTCCAAAATTTCAATCATACATTTCTGTCGATTTAATCCCTGTATTGATTTTGAAATACATTGTTCATGTACTTCTTTATCAATATCAATTAATGGTTTAGCCTCATCATATGATAAATTTAATTTATCTCTACTTTCCTTTATTGCCTTTAATTTATCTTGAACAATTTCTAAATCATTTTTTGTTTTTTCCTTATAATATTCTATAGACCTGCTTACAAATTTAGTTACTGCTTTTGGTAATTGAATTTCATTGTACTCTACATCATCATTAGATTCTACAAGTTTTTCTTCAGCAAAAGGTAGACCCTTGGTTAATACAGAGGCAGCTATTGCACAAGCAGGATTTATAAATGACAATCCTAAAAGTAGAAATCGGAAAATTGTAAACAAATTCCTTAATATCATTTTATTTTCAAGTTCTTTCTTTTTTTCATTTAACATTTTGATATTTTTTTTACTTTCATCTATAATTTCATCAATTTCTTTGATTAAGTTTTCAATTTGTTTATTTAAATTATCAATTTTCTCATCCAAGTGCCCTTTTAAATCCTCACTAATTAATTTTCCAGCTTCTTTAATTTCTTGTTCGAAATTTTCTTTAAATTTATTGCCAATTGTTTGTAATTTTTTGCGAATTTCATAATTTTTTAATTTTTCACCATCTTCAATACTTTGTTCTAAATAGACAGCAATTTTAAGAACAGCCTCGGTATTTGACTTCCTATGAAATTCACTTACTTTTTTCAGTGTCATATCATGTAATTTAGAAAACATTGTTTTAAAATCAGTCGATATTTGAATATTTTGTGTAACTGTTTTATATAACTCAATGCCTTCATTGAAAAACATGTATATAAAATGAAAAATAGTTTTATTTAATTCCAATGAATAATAATATTCTAAATCTAATAATTCCTTAACAAAATCAATTAGTGTAAGATGTTTCAGTAAATTTGCATTACCATTAAATTTTCTATACACATTTAAATAAAAACTTGTATCATCATTATTATCAAGAATATTGTTTATAATATATTTTCTGTAATCCACTACAGTTACACTAAAATAATTGATTCCAATTTGATGATTAATTTGAGAATTTAAGTTCAAGTTACTGTCAATTTTAGACCAACTTAGTGAGCTTAATTTTCTTTTTAGGTTAATAAACTCTACCAATATTCGATTTTGGCGAGATTTTACATATGTCCCATTAATTCCAGATTTACCATCAATACCATTTGTAGTTGATCTCTTTACAGTTAATGTCGTTAAATTATTTAAAAGAAAAATTTGAATTTCACCGGAAATACCACCCTGTCCTCCTTTACCACCAATACCTGGGTAAATCGAAATGAATTGATACGGTTCAAATTCTATTCCATTAAAACCATCATTTCCATTACTGCCTCTACCACCATTACATGAAATATTTAAATTTTCTCCATTTATAATAGTATCAGCTACTCCGAAAAATGATCCTCCAGGTCTTCCGTGTTCACCAGGTAAACCATTAATGCGACTGGTTTTTACTGCAGAACGTATTATTTCAATTCGAAGGTGATCCTGAAATATTTTTTTTTATTTTAATAAAATGTTTGAAAAAACAAATTTGTTTAATAAAAGTATTTTTTCACAACATACCATATATTTATATTCAGGAGCTCCATCTAAATTTATAACTCTGCGCTGATAAATTTCCCAAATTGGTGCAATTATAATGATTTGTTTCATTTCATGGCTGACTACATCTTCATTAATTAAAATTTTATTAAGTGCTAAAACTTCAAGTAATGTCACTTTACTGGGACAATAATTTTTATGTAAAATTTGACTAATGGTTAAAAATTTTCCTCTAATTTGCAATTTGTAGGTTCCATCGTTTAGTTGAGTGCATAAATGAAATAATTGAGAATTTAGCAAATTGTTCACGGTGAAAAAAACTTGTTTCATTATGTCTTGATTTTTTCCATCAAATTTCGATATTTCCTTGTACAAATATTCATTGGATATTTCATTTTTATACATTTTTACCAATCTAATAATGAGCCAATCTTCTTCCTCTTTCAAATAATCTTCACTAAAATATTGATAATGACTCATCCATCCTAACACCTGATTGTAGGCATCGTCATTCATATATTTTATAAAACAAATCATTTCTGTAAACATTATGTCTTCTCTATTTTCACAAAAATTGTTGTCGATAAATTTTTTAATGTGTAAACCAACTTTAGATTTATCTGATAATATTTTTGAATAAAATTTTTGTATCCAATGTAAATAAGTTAATATACCCTTTAAGTTTGACATATCCGTTAGAGTTGAATTTTCATAACTGCCTTTTAGTATATTGTTAAATCTGGCATTTAAAACTCTAAAACTATCTTCAGTACTAACACATGTTAAAAAATTATAAAATTTAATTAAGTTACTATTTGTTGGTAGATAATTCGATTTAAGAATTTCTGGTGAAGTCTCAGTAAAAAAATTCATTCTATAATATAGGTATTTTATTTCCATTTTCATTAAACTTCCTAATAACAAATATTCCAATTGCTCTTTGTCATTTAAATTCATAATGTCTTTATAAATTTTGTCAGAATTAGAATTATATCTTGCAAATGTATTGTGATAATGTTCACTTAACTTATCCATATCTCTTTCTCCGATAGAACTTGTTATACTTAGTGGGATAAAAATAATTTTTCTATCAAGAAAACTATAATAATTTGCAATTTCAGTTCTAAACAAGCTTAATCCATAAAGGAGCAATGAATTAAAATTGTTTTCGTTCATTGAACATGTTAGAGCCACTTTTATATTGTCTGATAATTCTATAGTTCTTTTTGTCAAATAATTTGCAAGAAATATATCAGTCACATTTCTTGGATAGACAAGGATATATCTCTCGTTACTGTAATATAGATAATAACATTCCATAATTTCCTGATATATGACTTTTTTCCAATGAGACCAAGATTCATTCCATTCAGGTGTCACTCTTTTATTTTTACTTAAATATTCAGCTAATTGGATACCATCTTTCATATCTTCTGCTATTATTATAAATAATTTTTCATATTTTGGCTTCAGAAATTCATTTATTATTTCTATTCGATCATATACTCTAAAAAGATCATCCAATGATACTTGAGTCTGAAAAATGTAGTTTGTTTTGTTAAAAAAATGTCATATACTTTGACACGACTAATGAGGAGAATTTGGAGCGCATGATTAATCCGTAATGTGAATATTTAGAATTTTAATTTTATAGAATCTTATTAGATATAATTTTACTTTATTCGAATTTATTTCTTTTAAATTAATGTTCAATCAAATTTAAATTAACCAGAATTTATACTGAACAGAATTTCTATATTATTTAACAGAATATGCTTTCAACATAATTTTCATTTAGCACACTTTTTATTGGAAAGAATTATTTTGAACACGAATTTATATTTATCAGAATTCTTATTTTAAACAGAATTTGGTCTAATTCGAATTTTTAAATGATAGAATTTTCATTTAAAGAAATCTTCATTTGTCCGAATTTTGATTAACACAAAATGTAATTTAATAGAAATCTTAAAACTCAGAATTTTTATTTGAAAATGTTCAAATAATGAAACGGTAGAAATATTTCGGCGCCAATTTTAAAACTGACCAATCACAATTTCCTTGACAATTTCTGATTGGTTAATTTTAAAATTGGCGCCGAAGTATTTCTGCCGTTTCGTTATTTGACCATTTTTAATGTAAAATAACAAAAATTTTCCGTTTTATAAAAAATAAATTAATGTAAAATTTCTTTTTAAAATGTTAAATATTCCAATTATAAGGAAAAATATAATTTCAAAGATTTGTTACATTACCTGTTCATGATAATTTAAATATTGTGATGAGCAAAAAGTGTTTATTTTTATTAGAAAGAAAACAAAAAAGAATAATATTTTCCTGTAGATTATCATTTTGCAATAATATATGTTTATTGAAATATACGAATAATAATCTTAGTCTATTTTCTTTAGGCTAAACAAAAATTATAACGTATTATAAGTAAAAAGCAGTAGAATTTATAGATTTTTTATCACATAATTATGTGCATAATAATAATAAAAATATTTCAACATATTATTTTTAGATGTAGAATTATAATAAAAAAAACATTATTAATATTTAAACAGCATTTCTGTGTAAATACAAAGCATGAAACAATTAAATTCCAACGGTGTCTATCAGTAACATTATTTGTTAAAATATTATTAACAATAGATAACATTCGTTTTTCTTATTTACTTAAATAAAATTAATTTATTCCTTTTTTTTCAAGGGCATTTCCATGAAAAAAAAATAATGCCAAACAGTTTTCTTTATCACGTTAGAATATTCTAATCGAGTTGTGTAAACATTAAAAGTAAAAATTAGATAAAAATTTTAATTCAAAATAAATGTTGCGATGCCTGAAATATAATAAAAATTTGCCTTCTTAAATTTCGACAAATTTTTATATTTTGAGAAAATTCATTTTGAGCCTTATTTTAACTTAACAGAATTTTTAGATAATTTTTAATTTTGTAGAATTTTTATTTTATACTATTTCTCATTACACAAAAATTTAACTTAAAAGAATTCTAATTTAAAAGATTCTTAATTTAGCATAATTCTAATTTAACAAGTTCTAGAAATTTTTAAATGCTATAATTTCCAATTTACCGAATCTTAATTTGTCCATATTTTTATTTGCACAAATTTTTGTTTTTCCGAAATTGCAATTGCTGCACAAATAATCGACACAAGAAACACTATTTAATTAACCTGCAATTCTTGTTTGTAAAAATTCAAAAAGTAATCACTACAAATATAATCATCCACTGGCATAAATTGACCGTCGCCAATCAATTCAACATTTACTTTATCCACAAATTTAGCTAATGGAGCAAACTCATTGTTACCATTATCGCGATGAAGACGTATTGTCCAAGTAGCAAAAGGACTTAAAATATAATCATTATTATTATCATAAAGTGAACGCCTTTTTCTTGATGAGCTCAAAAATTTAAACAATGTGCCAGAAGAACCAGATTTAATTAGATGCACTTTTTTGTTACATTCATAGTATGAGTCACCATTGTGATTTAAATATATGTCATAGTCCTTCAAGAGATTCTTTAATTCTTCATTAATTTCAGGATCTGTTGAAGTCAGCAAAATGTCCACATCACGAAACTTTAATGCATTAAAATGTTCTCCTTGCGAAATATTTGCAAATAATTTAACTTCTTTTCCTTCGAGAATATCTCTAATTGCTGATGAATAATTGCTGCTATTCCACTTATAAAATGCAGATTTAGAACCACCATTACCAAATTTAGTTTCCTTGACTTGTTTAAATAAACCACCGTGACCAATTCTTTTGTTTAAATTTAATTTTAAACTCTTCATTTTTTCAACAATGATGCTTGCTTTTTGCATACTGTTATTAAAAAATTCATTTGGACTTGTCATAAATTCGGAGAATTCTTCTATTAATGGATATGCATAACCTTTCATGGCTATTGTTAATTTATTATAATCATCAATAACACGATTTGAATAATAAATCTCCTCTAGTGCTGTAAAATCTTCAACTATTTGTGGATCGTTTAGATTCGTGATATCAAAAGGTGCCATTGCAATAACTTTAATATACTCAGCATTGTTTAATTCATTTTTAAAATTTTTAACCAAGGTATGCATATTAATAATCGTACTCATAGTTTTTTTGATTTTTTCTATTATTTTTGCTACTTCACCCTCCACCTTAAAACCCTTAGTCAATGTGCTTAATTCTGTTGAAGCATCTGTTAAATATTCATCCATTTTAAATTTTTGATATTCAAGTACAGCTCTCGAAGACATGGCAAATTTATCGGAACTTTTATGCAAATCATTTCGAATACGATCAATTTGTGGTCCCAATTTTTTATAAATGTTTTCTTTGAATATTTCCAATTTTCTTATCTCATCATATTGTTTTGAAATCTGCCTATCAATTGAATCTTTTGCAGCTGCATCTTTTGCATGTTTATTATATCGATCTATACCTAAATTAACAACATCTAATGATTTTTCTGCTGTTTTCATAACCTGCAATGATCTTTCATACTTTTGATTTTTCTTTTCACTCTTCTCCGTTAATTCAGTTTCTTTTTCGTCCAGAATATCAATCATACATTTCTGTCGATTCGATACCTGTATTGATTTTGAAATACATTGTTCTTGTACTTCTTTATCAATATCAATTAATGGTTTAGCCTCATCATATGGTAAATTTAATTTATCTTTACTTTCCTTTATTGCCTTTAATTTATCTTGAACAATTTCTAAATCTTTTTTTGCTTTTTCATTATAATATTCTGCAGATTTGTTGACAAATTCTGTTACTGCTTCTGGTAATTTAATTTCATTGTACTTTACTTCATCATCAGAGTCAACAAGTTTTTCTTCAGCATAAGATAGACCCTTAGTTAATACAGAGGCAGCTATTGCACAAGCAGGATTTATAAATGACAATCCTAAAAGTACAAATTGGAAAATTGTAAACAAATTTCTTAATATCATTTTATTTTCAAGTTCCTTCTTTTTTTCTTTCAACTTTTCGATATTTTTATTACTTGCATCTATCTTTTCATTAATTTCTTTGATTAGTTTTTCAATTTGTTTATTTAAATTATCAATTTTCTCATCCAACTGCGCTTTTAAATCTTCACTAATTAATTTTCCAGCTTCTTTAATTTCTTGTTCGAAATTTTCTTTAAATTTATTGCCAATTGTTTGTAATTTTTTGCGAATTTGATAATTTTTTAATTTTGCACCATCTTCAATACTTTGTTCTAAATAGACAGCAATTTTAAGAACAGCCTCGGTATTTGAATTTCTATGAAATTCACTTACTTTCTTCATTGTCATATCATGTAATTTAGAAAACATTGTTTTAAAATCTGTCGATATTTGAATATTTTGAGTCACCGTTTTATATAACTCAATGCCTTCTTTATAACTCATATACATAAAATGAAAATTAGTTATATTTAATTCTAATGAATAATAATAATATTCTAAATCTAATAATTCCTTAACAAAATCACTTGGTGTAAGATATTTTAGTAAATTTACGTTACTATTAAATTTTCTATACACATTTAAATAAAAAGTTGTATCATAATTATTTTTAAGAATATTATTTATAATATATTTTCTGTAATCCGCTACAGTTTCGCTAAAATAGTTGATTTTATTTTGTTGAATTATTTGAGAATTTATTTTCAATTTACTGTCAATTTCAGATCGACTTAGTGATGCTATTTTCTTTTTTATGTTAACTAACTCTACCAAAATTCGCTTATGGCGACAGTTTGTAAATGTTCCAGTAATTCCAGATTTACCATTAACACCATTTACAGTTGATTTTTTTATATTTAAGATCGTTGAATTATTTAGAAGAAAAATTTGAATTTCACCGGAAATACCACCTTCTCCTCCTTTGCCACCGATACCTGGGTAAAATAATTTAAAATGATAGCTTTCGTAATCTAGTCCATTAAATCCATCATTTCCATTACTTCCTATACCACCATTACATGAAATGTTTAAATTCTCTCCATTAATAGTAGTATCAGCTACTCCGAAGAATGATCCTCCAGGTCTTCCTTGTTCACCAGGTAAGCCATTGATGCGAATAAATTTTACTGCAGAACGAATTATTTCAATTCGAAGGTGATCCTGAAATATTTTTTTATTATTTTAATAAAATGTTTGAAAAAAACAAATTTGTTTAATAAAAATATTTCTTCACAACATACCATGTATTTATATTCAGGAGCACCATCTAAATTAATAACTCTGCGCTGATAAATTTCCCAAATTGGTGCAATTATAATTATTTGTTTCATTTCATGGCTGACTACATCTTCATTAATTAAAATTTTATTAAGTGCTAAAACTTCAAGTAATGTCACTTTACTGGGACAATAATTTTTATGTAAAATTTGACTAAAGGTTAAAAATTTTCCTCTGATTTGCAATTTGTAGGTTCCATCGTTTAGTTGAGAGCATAAATGAAATACTTCAGAATTTAGCAAATTGTTCACGGTGAAAAAAACTTGTTTCATTATGTCTTGATTTTTTCCATCAAATTTCGATATTTCCTCGTACAAATATTCATTGGATATTTCATTTTTATACATTTTTACCAATCTATTGATGAGCCAATCTGCTTCCTCTTTCAAATAATCTTCACTAAAATATTGATAATGACTCATCCATCCTAACACCTGATTGTAGGCATCGTCATTCATATATTTTATAAAACAAATCATTTCTGTAAACATTATGTCTTCTCTATTTTGACAAAAATTGTTGTCGATAAATTTTTTAATGTGTAAACCAACTTTAGATTTATCTGATAATATTTTTGAATAAAATTTTTGTATCCAATGTAAATAAGTTAATATACCCTTCAGCTTTGACATCTCTGTTAATGTGGAATTTTTTAAACTATCTTTTATTATATTGTTAAATCTGCCATTTAAAACTCTTAAACTATCTTCAGTACTAACAAATGTTAAGAAAGTATGAAATTTAATTAAATTACTATTTGTTGGTAGATAATTCGATTTAAGAATTTCTGGTGAATTATCTGTATAAGAATTCCATTTATTATGTAAATATTTTATTTCCATTCTCATTAAACTTCCTAATAACAAATATTCCAATTGCTCTTTGTCATTTAAATTCATAATGTCTTTATAAATATTGTCAGAATTAGTATTATATCTTGCAAATGTTTTGTCAAAATGTTCTTCAATCGTATCCATATCACATTTTCCGATACAAGTTGTCAAACTCAGTGGGATGAAAATAATTTTTCTATCCAGAAAACTATAATAATTTTTAATGTCAGTTTTAAAAATACTTAATCCATAAAGGAGCAATGAATTAAAATTGTCTTCGTTCATTGAACATGTTAGAGCCACTTT